ATTGTGAAATTCTGTGATTCCTGGTATCCAGTATCCTGGGTTCCTTTATCTGTTTTAGTTCTTTCTTGCCTCTTTTCTTTTCCCATGAAGACAACATGCATTGTACTAACTTATGTCTCTTATTCAGTGAGGTTCATGTCTTTGTGTTTTGTCCAAAACTATATTGAAAATATAAATATATTGTTTAATGCAAATGAAGGAATGCAATAAAGAGTATATATACTTGAAAACATCCTGTAGACCAATATTTTATATAAAACAATATATGTAACTGATATGTATGAAGAAGAGGGCTCAGAAAAGACCTTCTTGCTGTTTTGTTATAACTATCATAAGGAGATGAATAATTTTTATTTAAAAATCTCTGATTTGGGCCCTGGCTGGGCAGCTCAGTTGGTTAGAGCATCATCCCAATACACCAATGCTGTGTGTTTGATCCCTGATCAGGGCACATATAAGAATCAACCAATGAATGCATAAATAAGTGGAACAACAAATGAATATCTCTCTCTCTCTCTCTCTCTCTCTCTCTCTCTCTCTTAAAAAAAAAGAAAGGAATCTCTGATTTTAATTATTTTGAAAATATAGTCATTAAAAAAAATCAATAGCATTTTTAAAAGTTAATGCACAACAAGAATCTTTATACTTATTTTACCTTATTTAAAAAAAAACTGAAGTGTGCCCGAGTCATAATTGGGTTAAACCAGAAAGTAAAATTGTTTCTCAAGTTGAATTACTCCTTCCTATGAAATGTACAAACCAAGGGGCTCAAACACTCTTAGTGAGATTTCTTCCCATGGTTCATTTCACATCCTTCACCCTTTTTACATGTTTCTGAACTATCAGATCTCTTAGCCCAAATAAAACCTGGCCCGTGGAGTTGGTTCAGGTTAGGACTAAAGGCAGCCCAGAAAGTCAGCAAGGGTCTGTGGGAAGAGGCCAACTTCAGAGCTTCTCTGAGAGCAGGGTCAGCTCCCCGGGAGCTGTCCACACCCTCCTGGGAGGAGGGCCTTGAGACCCCCTCTGTCCCTGGAGAGCCTTGAACAGGTGGAGTCTGGAAGCTCTCCAAGGTCGATGCTGGGCAGAGAGCATACGAGGTTGCAGCCAGCCCGCTGATGAGGCAGAGGTGCCTCCAGCTGGCTGCTGCCTTGCTCCTCATCTGCGGATGAACTGTTAACAGGCTATTTCTTTTTTGTCAAAGGATGTCATTAAAGCCTAAAAAAGAGGTTTATCCTTTTCTAAAATTCTTGCTAAATTTGTACATCTTCACTGAAACACTTTTTAAATGTAACACAGAAAACTGTATACTGGTAGTTAAAACCTGAAATATGTTTTGCTTTAAGTTTGTTTTTTCATATCCTGAAAACTTCCCCTTGAAGTTTCAGCAACAAGCCATGGAGTAGATTCAAGTGTGTATAATAATCAAATCTTGCTAAACACACTTGGGGAAGCATTGAGTCAGCTATAAACAGCCAACCCAGCCCAAACACAGAAGGTAAAAGCAAGATTTCATTTTTCCTTGCCTGGCAACTTGATCCATAAGCAAGCCTTTTCAAAGTAGTGACAGGGAAAGGTGGGTAAGAGTTCAAAAAAGCATGTAAATTTCAGAAGTTATTGCAAAATGATCTGAAGTTTCTCATCAGCTGGCAAGCAGCGCTGAGATGAGAGCCTAGAGCAGGGCCTCGGGCTGTGTGTGTATGGATACCATAGCATTGAGATGCAGGAGATAGTGCCGTGATCGGCAAGGTTCCCAAGTAGTGAAGACAGGATTTGCAAGGACTCATGTTCGAAAATTTCCCAGTATACAGTCACCACAACTGCCTTTGTCTCACTATTTGGGGAGTTTACAACTTACAGGTAGATAATTTTTTGCATCCTAGAAAGTTCTCTGTTAAGCTAGGAGAAATGATGGCAGTGTGGTGGCCCATCATTTTGCTGAAATAACTTCACTGTGTGTGTATGTGTATGTCAGCCACGCATGTACAGTCCTTAGACCCAAGACTGGCAGGGATACCCCACTGAAACATTGGATACAGCTAGACTAATCTCACCACCCATCACCTCTTCCCTTGCTTTTCTCTGATTTTTCCTTACCCTCTTTCTTTTGCCTTAATTTTACCTTATCCCATCATCCTTGAACACGCTCACACTTTCCCCCTCCTTTCTTTGTAAAATAATACTGCTTTGAAAGATATCTTCTCATTATATTGTCTTTTTTCTTTCTTTTGGATCTTTTTTTAAAACTTCCTCATGTTTTATATGTTTATTAGTATTTATGTTTACAGAGATGCTAAATGTTCAGGCGCTGCTATAAACTGTATTCTCTTTAATCATAGAATATGATTAATCATAGAAAGGATTACAAATGGCCTTGGTAAGTATGAGTAGGGACCATTTAAATATTTGGCAATCTTAAACATACCCAGAACACTGGGGTAGACGAGTACTAACTTTACATAAAAGCTGAATACAAAGCTAAGCAGCGCTTGAGAGCGTGGAGGGGAGCTGTATACTTTCCATGTCCGAAGCCTCGCACGGCTGAAACAACCATTTTTGTGGTTTAAGCTTTTCAGGGACTAAATAAAATGCATGAATTTCTAGTAGCCATTCCCAGTCTAAGGTTAGAGGTCTGGCAACCCATCTCCACTGCACAAGGCAGACTGCTTTATTTTCCTGTTGTTGTCTTCTGTGAAATTAGATGAATAGAATTTGTTCCTAATAAAGGTAAATCAAGAGGGAGGGAAGGAAGGGAGAGAGGGAGAGAGGGAGGGAGGGGGAGGGAGGGAGGAAAGATGGAAAGATTTTTACTGTGCCAAATAAACTGAAGATGACTTTATGGGTCGTCTGAAGACATTTTATGTCTGTTGTCATAAAACCAAGTTATGGCATCTCATTGCTAAGAAGGTGTTACTTGTGGGCCTCAGGTGAGTCCTTTGAAACTGCAATCCAAGGAGAGGATGCCTTTACCTAGAGCAGTGGTCGGCAAACCGCGGCTCGCGAGCCACATGCGGCTCTTTGGCCCCGTGGCATGGGGCACGAAGTTTCAATTGCACTGTACGTGCGCGCCCGCACGTGGTATTTTGTGGAAGAGCTACACTCAAGGGGCCAGTTTGCCGACCACTGACCTAGAGCATGCCCACTGGGGGTCCTTTCTGCCCAGACCAGTCTAAAACTTTAAACGACACTTGTTCCAGACAATCCAGAGCTCAGGGGACACCGTGTCTTCTTCCTGACAACCCTGGCCCTTGTGTGGCTTAACTCTCCAGCAGAGCTAGCAGGGTAGAGCCATTTCCAGTCAAGTTTCATTTTCAATAGAGCAAATGCTATGTTCCCAGTAAATGGAGTTGAAAACATGGGTGAGGAAAGGATTGAGTCAGTGGCCAACATCGTGGTCTGCTGGCCTTGAGCCACATCTTTGAGTGTCTGTGACATTAATTTGTGTATTGGGAGTGCTGGAGTCTATGAAATGAATTACTGCCCAAATTGCTTATTTCTAAAACTGGAAATTCTTTGTTAGAAGCTGTTTTAGAACAAAGTAAGCCTGTAAGAAAGTCCTAGAGTAGATCAGGCCTACTGTCCATGACATGTCAGATTATCTTGCTTGGCGAACAGAGGAAATGAACTTAATTTGGGCCACTAATTTAAGAGTGAGAGTTGAAGCTACCACGCCAATGGGAAGGGTAGCGGAGGTACAGCTAATTACCATGTTTCTCTTTTATTAGATAGGATAATCTTAGTTAACTCAAAGGTATATACATTGTATAATAAATAATATTTATAAAAAGAGACTTTTTGAATATAAAATCAAAAAGATCAACAACTTCTACAACTTTTTACAAAACTTTGGATACAGCAGGTTGGTAGGAAATTTCCGTTGGATACTATTACCTGACTACATACGGCAAGAATAATTACAATGCACTCAATGTACTATTATTAAATAATTACTTGTCAGCTACTTGAATACGCCCCAGAAACATGACTTTATCACTTTTAATATAGAATACATAGATATGAAAAGATTGGTTTGAAAATTTGTATCCATTCTGCTGAAATAATTCTCACATAAAGCAAGCATTATCCGGTTGACATGATTTAAAACGTTGTAGCCTAAGATGAGATGAGATGAGGGGCATTAGAGATTCTACAGAGGGGATGGGGTGTGTATCTTAGCAGGGCTCGTGGCCAGCAGATTCAGGAGTGCAGGCCTGGCTTCTAGACGGCATCTTGATAAACCTGTCTGAGCAAGCGTGGAGATCGTCTGACCACGGTTTCGTAGGCCAGTGTTAGGTAGACCAAGGAGAAGGGAGAAAAGGAAGAGAAAACTGTTCTGCACTCTACCTAGGATGCACCTCCTTCTGGTTCTCCTTAAGACCAAGCTGTTGGATTGGTCCCTACTATCAGCTCCGTTTTGCTAGCTTCCTCTAGAATACAGAGGACCACTGTGGACCACGGAGAACTCAGCTGGGAGGTGCTTTTCCCAAAGGAGCAGGTGACTGCTTGCCCCCTTTGAACACCTAATCCTCACCCGCAGTAGCTGCATGGATTGATGCTTATCAGCATGCAGGTGAGGCCAGAAGCTCTGCCTTAGAGAACTCAGAACTCGCTCGGGCCAAAGAAAGGAAAGGATGCAGGAAGACATGTCCTTACTGGAGAGGAAATGAGGACTCGTTTCTACCCTCCCCATCTACTGGTCTCCAAACTGGAACTTCAGGAATAGACTGCTCCTCTCTCACTGGCCCTTTGTCTCATTTATACTGAGGTGGCCAACTGCTCACCTGGCGTTGTTTTGATGGAGAATCTGCAGGTGAGCAGGACTGGAGGGGAATGAGTGGCGTCTTCCAAAGATACCACTCCTTTCTCTAGGAAGCCATTCGGGCTGGAGAAGGCTTGTTCCCCCCTCCTCCCATACACAACCTATTTACAACATCCACTA